ATTTTCACTTAAAAATTCCGATTCTTAATTTCACTTAGGCGCTAAATAAAATACCTCGTTATGGAAAAACTATCATGTACGCATAAATTTGTGAGATTAATAATTTGGCTCCGTAGCTGAGTGTCTTGGCGTACATCTCAAACCGAAACATTCACCTATTTTATATCCCTAACGCTGACCTGGCCGAGTCGTTCTTTATTATATTTTGCTTTCATCACTGCATGTTTATCAGTATATGACAGCTTCAGTAATAGCTCATGCAGTGATGTCCACACTTTTTTTTTTATATTAGTAAATGATTAACAAGGGTATGGCAACCTTCTTAAATACTCTAAGAAATGTTGACGAGGAAAAATTCAACAAAAATTTCTTTTCATATGCTAAATGTGTGCATGAAGCGGGAATTTCCCTTCTCATCGGAATGTCATTATTGATGTGTAAAATAAAGTTTATATATTTTATACTTGTATCTTACCTCACCATGGAACCTCTACATTGGTGACCGACGTTGGACAACGCACATCTTTTGATCATTTCTTGGAATTTGGACAAAATGCGAAAACGGAACTAAACAAAAACATCATCAACAATGGATGAAATATCAGCAGTGAAAATACCTCCTTTCGTTTCTTCTGATCCATCTCTATGGTTCATGATGGTAGAATTTACTTTTGAATTAGCGGTTCCAAAGGCTAAAACAAAAGATTACATTTAATGCTATTTTAATTAAGAATAACTGATATGTTATTCAGCATAAACCCAGAAGCGGCGGCAGAATTTAGGGAAGACAAAATTTTTGGAATTTGGGGAAGCACTGACGGCAAAATTAAGGGATGAGAAGTTTTTTATGATTTCGGGAATGCACTGGGATCCAAAGTTTAGGCGCAGTGAAAATTTAGAACTTAGGGAAGGCGCTATTTAGCAGTATTTAGGACCCGTAGAGACTGCACCAGGCGGTATCGAGCGCCGGCCTTAGATAAAGCCTTAAATATATGTGGGAGTTTATTTATTCAGAACTCGGATTAGTTTGAAGCATGTGCAAGAAATAAACGTAGGTATAGTAAATAACTAAACTAATACAATTCAGGCTTAATTCAGTACGCAAAAGGAGCAAGACTAAATTTAGCGAAACCACTTGGCTTTCGTCGCCAATCTTGTGATACCCAGCCAATAATGTATAACGGAAGCTATTAAGCTAGACTAAAATTATCTTTAATGATTCTAAGGCATTTCAGTTAATGTAGCAGACTGCACTGCTCCCTGATCTTCTAATTTGATCCTTATTATTTTTTGCAGACTTATTATTACAGCAATTTTATAAAATCTAAGCTTGAGCTTTCGATTATGTCGAAAAGAGTTTCCAATTCTGGAGTTGCCAAAGGATCTACACAGCAAAACCATATTTCGATGTCCATTAAATAAAAGTGGAATTGTTGAAAAAAAAAAAAAAAAGGGATAAAGGCATACCCGTCTCAAAATTATGCAAGGAGTATGGCATTGCAAAGTCCACTGTATATGACACAAGAAAAAAGAAAAAGGAACTTTTTGAATTTTTTGTGGAAGCTTCTTAAGAAACTTACATTAAAAGAAATGTTTAACAAAGTAAACAAATAAATATTAAGCTTTTTTTTTTTTTTTTGTAAATTTTGATACCCTTTAGATCATAACTGTTCTTTATTTCATAAATTACGATTTCATATTTTTAATTGTATAATTTCTGCATGCCATCTTACCAGATTTAAATTGATGATCTATTATCCGGAAAAATCCCAAATTCGGAATCGCAGAAGTTCCGATCAGTCCGGATTTCGGACTTTGTACTGTACCATGTTTATATATTTGTTTATTTGCAAGTAACAGGAGTTTTAATTTTCATTATTTTATGCTAGTATCAATGATTAGTAACCTATAAATATTTAGCAACTATTGTGTATTCATTCATTAGATGAATCTAGGTTATATGGAGAAAATAATTCATGTGGAGGGTAGCCGGTGTAGCAGCAGTTTAAGTAGTAAAAATATATTTGATTTCGCAATGGAAACGTATGAAAAGAAGCGCTAATGACCGGTCATATTACTGATGAAATGTACAGAAATTTTTTTTTAAAAAGTTCAATACATAATTCTGATGATGTCAAAGGATTTTGTGACAAAAATTATCAATTTAAGATAAAATTAAGTATTTATAATCACGAAGTCACACAATGAAATAAATGAAGAACTAATGCTTTGGGAAAATTTCAAACGATATACCAAAAAAGAAATAATGTTCAAAGAAACCTAGATCTGAGGGCACTTTGATCATAAATCAAATTTTTATATAAAAGTGCAAAAAAATGTTTTCAATCTAATAACTGTGCACGTAAATAGAAGAAAACTTTTAAAATATATATATATATATAGCCTTTAAGTTGTGATGAGTAACAACCATACTCACCAACCCACTTCAAACTTTGCATATTTAACAGATTCCAATCTTGAAGATGACATAATAACAAATATCAGAAATCGAAGTACTTATAGGAATCGCCTACCTTTTACCACTGAAAACTGTTTCAAGTGGAATTACTTGGTAGTAAACTTCTGAAAGGTTCTGAAAATACACCATTCTTTTTAAAAAAAAAAAAAAAAAAAAAAAAAAAAAAAAAAACACTTGCTTTACAACTATTCTGGAAAAATTGTTTTGTTGAACAATTAAAAAACTAATTATGAAAATATTTTTACATCCAACATAATGTAATCCCAGATATTGTAAAAAAACATAGCAATAACATAGCTATGATACACATTTTAACACTTTGAAAGTGTTTACAGATATATACTTCCTTTATGTATACATCTTACTGCAGTTAAACTGAAAAGCAAATAAAGAAATAAAAGCATTATTTCTACACATAATCCTAATGTTTTAATTATTTATTCAGCAATGCTATTTCTCACAGTACAGGAGTCAGTCGGATTTTCTCCCTAAGGAAATTTTCATTGGAAGTGCGAAGGAAGTCATAAGCAGGTTAAGAAAATATAAATTGAACTTATTCTTCAAAATGCATGTCTGTCAAATAACAGCTATTACATAAATTCCAAGTACACATAGTTTCAAAACATGTGGATATGTGGTGACATTAGTTTAACTTCTGAAAGCTTCCACAAAATACTCCTGAACACTGTCAAAATAATGGCACCTTTGATTTTACTTATACAAATTATGTAGCACCCTGTCATGTTTCCCTTTGTGGAACTTAATAAATATTATTGAATGACTCTGAGAAAAGCACAAAATTTTAAATTCTCTTCTATTACTATCAAATTATAATACTTCAAACCCAAAATATGTAAAGTAGGCCTTTCATCACTGCCCAGATCACAGTTTTCAACAATTTATGCAGATAACTTGGATTCAAAAAGCAAATAGAGTATACAATAAAAATGGCAATATCCTACAGTTACAAATAAGATCCAATGAACACAGACAGTTTGAATCTTAATGTGTTCTTGATAGTCAGCAGATGTCTGAATGTGTAACACACAGCATATTGTGTATCACAGAAATATTTAAAATGTGCAAAATAACCCAGATTAACAAAGAACACTACCACAATTCAAAAAAAAAGTGTGCATAATACATGTATGTAACAGATGTATGTGTAATGCAAAAATCCATTATACGAGTTGTACTTCTGCATATAGCATAGCATGCTATGTTAGAGATATGGAGAAGAATACAGTATTATAAAAACACTGCTAGCTGCACAAAAGGATAATCACTACAGATGCAATAGCCATAAACAACTAATTATCTTGAGATAATAAATAAGCATTAGTCCTTTTTATTTTATAAACAATGAAGTCAGGAACGCTTAAAAGGGAATACAAAATGTTCACAGAAAACTGCATTTTAGGAAGAAAAAACAATCCAGTTTTTCGATTTTATTTTCTCTAACACTTCAAAAGGAAATAATTATAATTAAAATGTAAAAAATCTATGTAAATCAGGTTTTCTCATCCTACCAGTAAAATAAATACATTATTTGAGGTGCACAGGAAAAGCCTGAAACATTTGGTATACCCAATCCTTCAACAGCTGCTATTTTTATTTCTCGAAACAAAAATATTTATTTAATGCTACCCCCCTTATATCTGTTAAAATCTATATTAATACAATGGCAAAAAAGTGTTGATAGACTATGTTGGATATCGTACAGTAATACAGATCTGGATACATTACTTCCCCTCCAAATTTTACTTCAGAAATTTTTTGATTATTTAGATTATACACCTATTATGGTGTAACAAACCACTGCATTTTGAACTTTTATAAAAACTATCAGTTCTTACATTAATAGTTTTCATGCTTTAAAAGAATATTGAACATTTCAAATAGTTGTGTCTGACACACTGAGATCATTAGTTCTCAGCAATTTTTAATCTGGTTTTTATCTTGAATGACCAGATGCTGCTGTGTGCATCTTGAAGAAACCAATTAGTTTTCACTACTGTAGCACATTTATGAAGACACTATCTCTAAATTTACATGTTTTGGACCATCAAAAATTAAGTTCAGCTTAATAAGTTTAAAAAAAAATGTAACTAATTATAGTCATGCTAAGGTCCTAAGAATTATTTCGTTTACATCACAGGTTGAATATCAATAACTTAAACTATAACTATCTTTCTTTCCCATTTCCCTCCGATCTAAATGTTAATATTTCAAGTTTTCGCAGATTATTTGAAAAAGACATCTAAACAAACAATCAAAACCATCCAATTTGAATTGAAAAAATGTCTGTTCGGCATTATCTTATACGAAACCAAATCATAAGAAATATAACAGAAGCACTGTACATAAGCCTTTTTGTTTTTATGCAACTGGGGGGAGGCATTATTTATAAAACAATTTCTGATGATATTCTGCAGGAAAAATGATGTAAAATTTTATACCTTACATGTCCTTCATATGCATATTAGCACTGCTTGGTTAAATAAAATATTTCAGTTGTGCAAATAAGTCATATTTTAATATATAACAAAAGATATGATGATAGTTTTTCATATAAAAAAGGGGGTAAATCCACAACTAAGAGTATTTGAGCTAAATTTACACAATATTAAATATAGCTCTATGTCTTAGCTCCAGGCGTTATGACATAAGTACAATATTTTCAGCAGTCAAGTCGAACATTTATTTTCAGTTATGGATGTTAACTGGCTTCCCTGCTGTTGCGTACTTCAGATGTTTAAAATTTACATATAAAATTGTATTACTGGAAATGAATAATGGGTAACACATTTCTTACGCTGAAAACTGGGTTACTTAGAGGGAGAATGCAATAGAATAATTTCATGTGAATACTTACTACACAACAAACATAAGATTCTTCAACAATATCAATATGGTACTTCAAAATTTCAACACAATATAATAATTTCACATTCATAATTTGCAATGATGTTGTTAAGTATTTTACATAAGAAGAACAAAATCTTGTTTATCCTAGACTTCACACAAATATGGAAAAACACTTGATTAAAACAAAAGGAAATAAACTGCATTACTACTTATGGCGGATTTTTAAACTATAAATTATTTTCAGGTACTATATTTTTCTTTATATTTTAACATAATATAAATGAAAAGTATGATACAAAATGCATTCAGCACTATAAAAGTTACATAATTTCTAAGACTTCAAATAGAGCTTCATTTAAACATTATTTACATAAATTAAAAGAAAAAAACTCTCAGGACAGTTATCAAAAATTTCTTTTAACATAATTTCGAATAAGTTTCTTTCTTTCTCCCTCCCCATGCTACAGCCATACAACTACATGCACACTCAAAGATAAATTGTTTCAATACTTCAAAATGTACATTTTTACTTTTTTCCACAATCACACAACTGCATGCATACTTTTAGACACATCATTTCAATACTGCAATGCAGAATTTTTACATATACTAATAGAAATACATCTTACTGTATACAACACAAACCTGATAACTCTCTCCCCTTTCTAACCCGAGGCATTACATGAAATTTAGGATCTGGTGTAGGTGGACGGAAATCATCATCATCATCATCACCATCTTCACTTTCTGAAATATTGTCTCTAGATGTTGTATCTTTTGTTGAACTAGATGGACGTGTTGAAGATGATTTCAGACTTTCAGCTTTCACTTTTAAGGTAATTCCTCCTGAGCGCATAACAATCATTTCAGGTTCTGACTTTGGAAGATCTGTTTCAATCTCCATATCTGGTTCAGAGATTAATCCAATTATCTCTTCTTCACCTGGCTTTCCTTCTAAAATATCATCATCTATTTCTGGTTTCTCTCCATGAGAAGGTTTTTCAGCAAAATCATTTGTTTCCAACAAATGTGTTTCACTTTCACTCTCTTCTTTAACATAAGAATCACTAACTTTACAAAACATACAGTTCAAAAGTTCAAGTATTTCTTTTTCAAGGTTTTCATCAACTGATATTTCTAATTCCTGTTTCTCTGCTTCAGATGCCTAGAATATCAGAAAATATAAAATGTTTGAAGTCTTAAAATAATAATATTTAATATATGATATACCATATTTATTTGCATATTTTCCCCCTTTTCTTACTAATTTTATCACTTGAAAATTGGAAGGGGGAAAATATATGGCATATACAATATCCAAAGAGATGGCTTAAATAATAAGCATAGTGCATATAAAACCACACTAATATTATTATATTAGGTATTTCAAAAGATTTAACAATTTCAATCATATTCCGTTTACTTACAGAAAATAATTCCCTATTTGTGCATACATTTTACATTGTTACTATATATCAGAAGTTTCTTAATCACATGCTGAAAAGCAACAAGTAAAATTATATGAGAAGGAGAAAATGCGAATAAATATGGCATACAGTAAGATATTCATTTGATACGATTAACTTTAAAAAAAATTCTAACAATTCCTGAAGTGTATTTTCATTCTTCATGATCATTTCTGCATAACAGAGAATAACTATTTACATAAATGCTTTCTGAGATAATTTTATTTTATGTAAAGAAATTAAAAATATTTGGTCCATCTAAAACCAAAAATTTTTAAGTAATTAAGAATCTTAACAATTCATAAACTGTAGCAGCATGGGAAAAGTTTAAAAATATAGTTACCCATTTAAATGACATTAATGCAAATGAGTAAAAAAAAAAAAAAAAAAAAAAAAAAAAACTCAAATTTATTGAGACACACTTTTATTACATAATAGCAGATATTTTCAAATAGTAAGCCCTGAAAAATAATATAGTTTTATTCTGTTACTGATTGTTCATAACTTCAAAACATGTACTTTTTTCAGAAAAATTATTATCTCTCCCATGATCTTCACCTTTCAGATGTAGAGTTAAAAAAAATCAATCCTTGCATAATCTAATGCAACTACTACTCCAAACTTTCATTCCAAACTGACATTTTTCATTACAATTTCAAACACCTTATTAGTAAGAAAAATGCGTGACCAAACCACTTCGGAGAAAGTTGTTTTCATTTCTTGATGGTACAGCAATGTAATTAATTCTCGTAACTCCAAAAAGATCTAGTATATGAAAAAATGTTTTCACTTCTCTCACATTATATAGTTTTCCAATCCTATTTTCTACTAAAACATACAATTTTTTTCTGAAATTACTGTCTAATAGAAGATGGGTTACAAACAGATCTACACACAATGCAATCAGGTATTTTAACTTTAACATATATCAGATATGACATAAGACCTCAGATGCACATTAGAACAGAAAATGATAAGAAACCTTTCCAAAAAATAAAATACATGCAAATTTAACCTCAAATGCAAAGATTGCATGCAACACAAAAATTATCTTAAAGTAATACCAAAAGAGAAAATATCTGCATTCTCAGTCTGCATCCATTTTATTATTTATAAAATTCCGTCCTGTATTAATAATTGTCCATTCCTGTAACATAAATTCTGTCCTGAGTATATGTTATACGGAGAAGTTCAAAAAGTAATTATGAACTGCATTAACCTTAATAATATTAAACCAAACTGAGATTTAAAGCTCTTTGGTGAAGGTTATTAGGTATATGTACTAAAAGTATTTTAAAAACATAGACATAACTTCTGTATTGGATATACCTTAATTAAAAGAAGTGTTATAAAGTGATTAAAAGACAGTAGTATGATGCACATTCTTGCACAAAATTGCAGTTTTAACTTAAGAATTCATTGTAAAAAAATTTAAGAAACACTATTTTTTCATTCCTACTACTTCTGCAATAGAAAAAACACACTAGTCAGTGGTTAAAACTACTGAATACTCATAGTTCACCAGGCTCGAACCCAGGCTGGCTGCTTGGCTGATTTTTGTAGTTTTCTCCAACAATGATATGAACATACGGCAGTTTCACTCAGACCAACCTCGACATAAGAATCCCTCACCTGCTTTTACCAAATTCCAATAATCTAACCATTAAAATAACATTTATAATCATAAATGAAATAATAAATATTTAGACTCAGTTAGGAGGGGAGACTAATATATATTTTTCTAGTCTATAGCAATGCAATCAGGAAAATGCTGCACATTTAAATCTAACAAAAAATCTATTTAATTAAAATTAGGAGCATAAAAGTGGACTGTTAGAAAATTCTAAGCATTAGTAAGCTGCGATGAGAAATATTAAATGAGCAAAACATAAATTATTAACAAATAAGTTTGATAAAAATCAGATATTGACCTTTCTAGCATATTTGCTACCAATTACTGAGATTTAGGGTAAGTTTATAATCAAATATATTATAAAACCAACATAATATTATCTGTGAATGTTAGCTAGTTTGTATGCAACACACATGTAACTGTTTTGTGAATTTTTCAGTCACATTTTATTTTAATGACTCAAATCAGCATACAAATTTTGAATTTTGTTTTATTAAAATAATTACACAATTATCAATAAGCACTAATTCTTCTGCTTGATTAATTTTAAGAATAATACAAATATTATTTGAAAGCAATAACAGAAGTAATACTATTCATTGTTGGATATAACATGAATAAATACAACATAAAGATTCCTTCAGATTGAAAAATCTATGGTATGTCACAGTGACTTCAGTACCTCTAAAATGGCTTCTCATATAGTCTTTAACACGTTTTGTCATAAATAATATTGCAGTGGGTGTGACCTATATTCAAAAACTTGAGATTTTTATGCTTAATAAAGATTTCAATGAACTGATCGAAGCCACTGAAGCACTAAACAAATTATTTTGTTTATATTTTAGAAACCTTCATTTTAAACAATTTTATCTAATTTTTATTTCTTCTTTTAAATAAGAGTCAATGAGTCTTACAGTTAATTATCACCAGTCAAATTGTGATGCTGCATAGTAAGAGGCAGAAATCATACACTATCTCTGTACATTTTTAAACAAATCATGACATTGCCACATTTCTGCACATTATTGCTTCAGACTATGTCTGACCAACAAAGAATTCCAAGCATATATCTTTTCCTATATTATTCCAGTTTCCTGGTTTGATTTTATTACAATATTCTGCCATGCTTAATTTCAATAGTAATTATACAATATTCATTAAAAAATTAGACAACACAAAACCCCTTAGACTGACATAGCTTTCACATAAAACTCTGTTTTAAAGACATTCCACATATACCTTGAAAGCAGCAAAAAAAACTTTCAACACAATTTTGTTACTCCTTGAAAATTAGGAATTTTTATCTACTGCCATGAAAATAATTAGTTCTATTAAAATCCATGCATTCCCCCACCCCCGCCAAACAAATTCATATTTTAGAGTGGCACATCTTTTCCATATACAATATTGACAAATATTTAGCAATTAATTAGAGAATTTTCAGGGTGATAAAGGCAAGGAAAACATAAATAAGTTTTAAAAATGAAGATGTATATAACTAAGACTGAAAGTACAAATGAAGTGATGCATAATCAAATAAATAACAGTCTTCTTTTCATTAGTTGTGTAAGAAAAGATGAGATTTATTCCCACATAATTCATATTATGCTATTTTTAACCCATTTGTAAAGATAAATCTGCAAACTTACAAAGCTCAGATTTTTAAAAATTAGTGTTTTTGTACAGTTCCCCCCCCCATAGTGCAGACATGGTAGTTCAGAGGTTCTCCCACTCCCCACCAAAAGGACTCTTGCTGAAACAATATATATGTCATTCTGCATACATTACTTCTTTCAAAATTCAAATGAGCATGTTTATGAACACTATGAATAAACAAATTCAGATTGCTGCATGATACTTAATGTGTATTAATGAAATCCCCAAATTTTCACGCAAACTAAATAAATTGGACAGAAGACTTTACTTACATGAAGTTTTTAGGTTACAGGAAATTTTCAAGACGAAATTACAGAATGCCAATGTATAATGAATACAAAGCTCTGAAGACTGCTCAGTGATTAAACTCTGAACTTCAAGCTAATAGTTTTGTTAAAAGCACATCTTTAAAACTTATTTAACGACATACCTGAAAATCGTGTTAACTTGGTGAACAAAATGTTCAGGTACACAAATTTGAAAATAAATAAATAAATAAATAAAACAAACAAACAAAAAAAAATAAATAATTTTTATTTGCTTTAGTAACTTGTCAATCTCTTATTACATAAAAAAGTAGCTAACAATATAATAGCATGTGAGGGTGAAATGATCCTAGGTTCAAATTTTAGTAAAACTTCAGGTTTTTAGAAATATTTATAAATGCCAAAGCATTATAACTACTTGCTCAATATTATTTTGAACTCCTATATGTGATCAAAATAGCTCTCACCAAGTGAGGCAGAGACAGTGTAAGATTTCTAAATTTCTTGGAGTATCCATTTCCAACATCTATAATTTTTCTAATTTACAGGCAGAACTGGTGTAGAACTAATTTTTTGTAGCAATGCTTCAAACAGATGTTTCAGGTCTAACTCTGAGGAATTTGGGAACTTGGTGCAATACCTAGAGCTCTTTTTCTTGCAAACCACTTTTAAACAGTCTAGGCAGTATAATGCAGCATAGTACAGTACAGAAAGAAGACATTTCCAAGATGTTTTTTCAATGGCGGGCATTTGTCTATAAAGGCATTGGCCACCACTAAGGCCAGAAATGGTGGCGATTTTATTGTGGAAGCACCTAATAGGCGGCCACGGCTACCTCCTATGAAGGGACAGATAATTTTACATCTATGCCTTCTCCGGGAATTGAACCCGGGCCCTTTGGTATCGCAGTCAGGCTTCCCCAACCATTATACTATCTGGGTGGCTATTTCCAAAATGTACCAGGGCCCAACAGGGACAATCACAGGCTCTCGGCACAGCGTTCTTGTAGGAACCCTCAAACAAGAGTCTGTATAATTATAGACCGATTTGAAGGGCTTCAAATATAACAAGCCTTAAACCCTGGGTTTCTGTGTCTATGCAATAAACAGGGATTGGAATTTTCACATTAAAGGTCATTAAT